ACACAATCATCCCCGACGTCCAGCGAGCGACCAGATCCATAAAAGGTTCAGTTATACAAAAATCGAGTGGAGTGGGGGGGAGGGCATGGGGGGGATGGGGCAGCCGGGGATGGGAGGGATGGGGCAACAGGGGATGGGCGGCTACCCGCGGCCGCAGTGGTGAGATGGTTCCGCAGGTGCTTTGCGGAGGACCTTCCCCATAGCGCCGCCAGCTCGCTTCAACGCAGCTACTGTCAATAGGCGCGGCTGTGGCCAAGCGGGCTCGACCGCGCGGCAAGGGTGGGCGCGAGGCAGCTCTCCCGTGCCGGCGAGCGCGTGCAAGGCGCGCCATCGAGCGCGCAATATCTAGATTGGTGTCTGACAGTTACGACGAACCCCCACTTGCACGACCCTTGTTGTGCCCTCTGCCGCTCTGTCAATGCGGTGCGTTGGGGAGGAGGTAAGGTCGCGGGGCCTATGTCGTATGTGCGCGCGGGCGCCCCCATTGACCGGAGGGGGAGGCCTCCCCCCTCCGAAAAAAGAGAGGCGAGAGACGTGTCCACACCACGGCGATTGCCAATCGCGTCAGAGCCGGCACGTCCCCCCACGGCCCCACCGGCCGCACGCGACAACCGAACACAATGAACGACAAAAGAAACATGCCTGAAAAACACATGAATTTTTTGGATGAAGGTTGAAGCATGAACTCTCACGCACTCACGAGAACGCGCGATTCTGCAGCACTCGCGGCACTCTCGGGGAGAAGATGGGTTGGGAGCGAGGGGGCGGAAGTGATCAGTGCTGTAGCGGATCGGTCAGAGTCGGGGCGCGTGAAAAATACAAATAATCACCGCAGACCGGGCAGAGTTCCGCACAGTGTGGTGGCCAGGCGCGCCCGCGCCGGCGCGAGGTGCATGCATGGTGCCACCGCGTGTGGCGCTCTGCGCGCCACGCCGCGGGCTCTGGGGGGAGGCGGGGGCCCCCGGAGGCACCGTGCGCCGCGCAGCAGTGCGGAAACGGGGCTCCGGCTCTACTAGTCTCTACTGGCACCGACTTCCCGAATGAGGTTGATCAGAGGGCAGATTTGGAGAGATCTCGAGGAGTACATACAGATAGACCCTCCAATCATCAGAAAACTCCAACCTGATCGGTCGTACTGACCGCCGACAGATCACTCCAGACAGCAGACAGGCCGACGTCTGCACACGGCCGGCCGGGCGAGAGGCTTGACACGATCCGACCCTGCGACCCTGACGCTGCTGCTCTAGCTATCAGACGTGCACTGCTGACTGCTGCCACAATGTGCGACCTGTGCTGATCCACTTGCCGGCCTTCCCGGTCAGTGGTGAGGCGCAGTTCAGAGCTGTCGATGGCGCGATGCCGCACTGGTCCCACATCGGTGACACGAGACCACCACGTTTGCCGGTCCAAGAGAGAGGCACCGGCGCTGTCCTGAGAAGGTGCATGGTCCCTCTTGACTGCCCATGCGCGCGAGGCTGTGTAGGCATAGCCTCGAGAGTGCAGCAGCCAGTGGCACGAGCCCACGTAGAAACGCACTTGAAGCGCACATGAAAAAGAAAACATCGCGCGGACAGCGATCACATCTGTGATTGCGGGAGATAAAAAAGAAATTCGACCCGCGCAAGACGTCATGCCCGCGACCCCCTCCCGCGCCACCGCCGGGCTCCGCACGCCTCCTCCGTCTGCTGGCAGCGCGCCGGGCGGCGAAGTCCCGAAGAACGTCCTGAACGCGGCTGCGGACGGCCGCATGGGAGCGGTGCGATTGTGGCTGAATGAAGGCGGGAAGGCCGACACTCTCGCTGAGCGACTCACTGAGGCCGGCAAGATGGTTCCATGCACCCTGCTGATGCTCGCCGCACAGAACGAGCACATGCAGATTGTCGAGCTGCTCCTGAAGCGTGGCGCGCACATCAACCTGCAGAACGGTCGCGGCACCACAGCGCTCAGCACTGCCGCCTACTGCGGCCGCGAGCGAATGGTGGACGTGCTGCTGCGGCGTGGCGCGGAGTTAAACCCGCAGGACGCCGCCTGGCCGGCGCTGGAAGCGGCTGCCCAGGGCGGCAAAGAGCGGGTGGTCGACTTGCTGATACGGCGCGGCGCTGAGGTCAACTTGCAGAGGAGCGACGGCTGCACCGCGCTGATGCACGCCGCCTACTTCAACCGCCCCACTGTCGTGCTGCGCCTGCTGCGGGGGGGCGCAGACATGACGTTGCGCGACGTGTTTGGCAAGACGGCGCTGCAGATTGCCAAGAAGAGGGGCCACGCCGAGTGCGTCGAGGCGTTCAAGACGCATATCGGGGAGGTGGCGGTGAGCCGGAGCAAGGCACCGTCGGCCGAGGCAGGCGGCGCAGGCGCGGCGGAGGGTGCGAGTGCCGTGGCCCCTGCTTCGAGCGGCGAGGGCGGCGCGGAGGCTGAGCCGAGCAGCGGCGGGGCAGTGCCAGGGGAGGTCGTGCTAGCGGCTGAGCGCGGCGACGAGGCGGTGCTGGCGTGGCTCGACGGCGGCAGGCGGGTGAACGCGACGTTCGAGTACGTCTTTTCGGACGTCTCTCTGAGCGGCGTGACGCTGCTGATGCTCGCGATGATGAAGGGCCACGAGGGGCTGGCCGAGGCGCTGCTCCAGCGCGGCGCGGATGTCTCGTTGCAGACTAGCCACGGCGGCACCGCGCTGATTCTCGCCGCCATTCATGGCCATGAGAAGCTGGTCGAGTTGGCGTTACGGCACGGCGCGGCGATCGACCAGCAGTCCAACAGCGGCGACACCGCACTGAGTTGGGCCGCTTTCAACGGCCACCCCGCCGCCCTCCTCGGCTTGCTGCGGGCGGGCGCAGACGTGACGGTGTGCAACACGAGAGGCAAGACCGCGCTGCACTATGCCAAGGAGCAGGGCCGTGCCAAGTGCGTGCGCGCCCTCGAGGAGCATGCGGCGGCCAAGAAGGTGGCGGAGAAGGCGGCGAAGAAGGCTGCGGAGGCGGCGGAGAAGGCGGCGTCGGAGGCGGCGTGGGCCGCGGGAGCGGCGGAGAGGGCGGCGCAGAGGGCGGCGGAGGAGAGGGAGGCGGCGCGGCACGCGGAGGAGCTGCTGGCGGAGGTCGAGGCGGAGAAGCGCGCCAAGGGCAAGAAGGGCAAGAAGAAGAAGAAGAAGGGCGGGGGCGGGGCGGGCGCGGCTGGGCCGTCGCAGGAGCCCGAGGAGGTTGCCGAGGCGCCGTCGGAGGCAGACGCAGCCGAGGCGGCGAAGAAGGCCGAGGAGGCGAGGCTTCTTCTGCTTCTCGAGACGCTCACCGAGGAGAGGATGCGGTTCGGCATCATGGCGGAGGCGCTGGGAGAGGCGGCCGAGGCGGCGGACGAGGCGAGCGAGGAGGAGACAGCGGAGGGGCAGGCTGCGGCGGCGCGCGAGGAGGCCGAGGCGGCCGAGGCCGCGCGTTGGAGTGCGGAGGCGGAGGGGTTGGAGGAGGCCGCGGCGGAGGCAGAGGCTGCGTTGGCGGCGGAGGAGGCGGCGATGGAGGCCGCAATCGCCGCCGCCAAGGCGAGGCGCGCGTCGGTGGCGACGGCGAGGGCCAAGGCAGCGGCAGCCAGGATGGCGGCGGAGGCGGCCCAGCGCTCATAGAGAGCTGCTTGGGAGCACACTGCACGCATGGTACGAACACGGGCGCGCCATCGCAGTTTTGCAGTGTCGGCTGGAGGCTTCCGCAGCCAATCTCGTCAGCGCTGTGTGGAGCTCCGGCGCGTGGACCCTTTGGTCGGATTTGGGCCACGGCGATTCTGAGGAGGTTGTGCTGCTGCCCAAGCCAAAGGTCGAGGCGTGGGGGTTGGGACAATGAGGGAGAGGGGAAGGCGTGAGTACGAGACGGTCGTGAAAGTCTCTCTGCCGCATGTGTTTTTCTGTGCTTTTTCACGCGCGTGTAAAAATCTCGATATCTCGCAAATACTTGATTTTTCACGCCGTGTAACAATCGTGATCAAACGGCCCTGCTGTGAGCTGGTACACCAAGAATGGCTTACCACTGCCAGGAGCCACACTGTGGCAAGCTGTGATGAGCGTGGTTTGGCTTGTGCAGCCCATACGGACGTGGTATATATACATATATGCGGCCACGTGTCGGCCGGTTCGGGGCACGAAATCCGGATTTTTCCACGGCGTAACAATCGTTGCTGTAGTGGCGCCAATGGCCGCCTCCCGTCGCGCCATTGGCACCCTAGCCAGCAGTAGCACCGGAGGCAACACCACCAAGCCCACAAGTCACAAGAGTGACGGAGATGCTTGCCACGAGCACCGTGACGCCCGACCCTGTGAGCACCGTGGGCGTATACGGCTGCATACGGTGAGATGATGCACAGCATGGCCAGACGAGGGATGCAATGCTCGCCAGCTGTATGTTAGTGAGGTATATGGATGTGATCAACATGTGTGAATCACAGGTACGCGCAGCAGCGCATGTAGCCGCTGATATCGAAGACAGCGCAAACAGGTTTTTTTGCGCCACGCACCCGATGGCCGTGCTGGTCCAACTGCGTGCACAGGAATGCTATCAGCGCGTCTCCGCCATAACTGGACATGGCAATGAAGCAGC